GAGAGAGAAAGAGAGAGAGAAAGAGAGAGAGGTAAAGGATTAATGTGGGAAAGAGGAAGAGAGAGAGAGAGAGAGAGAGAGAGGAAGAATAGAAGTAGGAAAAAAAAGAGAAAAAGGTAAAAAGCAAAAAAAAAGGAAAAAAAACCTTCACTTTAAATGAATAATACATGCCTTTTTTTTTTTTTTGTTCTCGAGATTTTAGAATTACCATTCCCTGTGGGAAAAATGAGTAGATGAGGACGACTGCGAGCACAAAAAAAAGAGAGAGAGAGAGAGAGAGAGAGAGATAGAGGAAAGGGTTAAAGGTTGTTTTCTTGTCAGAAAAGAAAAAAGCCCCCAAAGTATTTATTTGAGAGAAATCATTTGAAAAAAACAAAAAAAATTTTAAACGTTCAAAAATTATCCTTCGGTGATTTTTTTTTTTAAAAATAAACCTTAATAATAATTTCCCCCTCCCTTCCCCCCAAAAGAAAAAAATGGGGGTAAATAATAATAAATAATAATAATAATAAGCAGACGATTTTAAAATTTTTTAATTTTTAATATCAAAACGTGATTGATTGACGTACGTGCGGTTGTTGTTAGCGTTTCAAAAAAAGCCAGAGGAAAACAAAAAAAAGGAAAAAAAAGGAAAAGTTTTTGTTCCAGAATGTTCTTCCAGAATTTATATAAAATTTTTGGAAACTTACTTATAATATATAAATAATTTCGGTTTCCTAAACGATTATCATTTGATCGTTACGCCCGTGGTGAAAAATTTTTTAGTAAAACGTTTTACAAATGTTTTCCTATCATGAAAATTATATTTTTCATTTTTACACTCTTATACTCTCTCCAGCTTCTGCCCTTCACACCCCCCTTTAGCCCCCACCTACACTCTCCCACATTTTATATCTTTCCCCCCCCACGACTTACGGAGTAGAATTTAAATCTTTTCTTTTTTATCTCGAACCTATCTTATTCTCATTTATCATTCGCCATTCCCATCACCACCACCGCCCCCCAAAAAGAAAATAAGAATAAGTTAAAAACTAAAAAAATTTTCTGCTGATTTCAACACAATTTTTTTTTAATAATAATAATAATAATTGGAATTTTTTTTATAGTCTATAATAAATATAGTTAAAATTAAATAATTTAAAGAATAATTTTTCAATATTAAATTATGTAAATTTAAAAGTTATAGAAAAAAAAGAAAAACGAGAATGAAATGAAATGAAAAAAAATTTTCTTTTTTCCTTTCTGTGTGTGTGTGTTTAAATTTAAAAAGGTCAAAAGGTTAAGCTGATACTAAATATATATATATGCGTATAAATATACGTATATGCATACATTACACATTTTAAAGGGGATTTTAAAATGTCAAAACTTTTTTTTTTTTTTAAATAAAATAATAATAATAATAAAATGTTTCGTCGTTTGATTTATAATGTTTTTATATACATGTATATAATGGTTAACATATTGTGTGTGACGTACGCGGAGATCGAAAAACCGGAAATACTTTATAAAAAAATTAAATCGCATCCGGTCGTACGATATATTCAAGCGAAAAAAATTAATTACGTAATGAAAATAATTTTTAATTTTTTTTTTTTTCTCTTTTTGAGTTCGAAACTTTTTTTTTTTTTTAATTAAAAAAACTAAATTCGTAAATTTCTATTGACACGTTTTTTTTTTATTCGCAACAACCGTATCCGGTTTTTTGTTTTTCGTCGACATTTTCACTCGTATTTCTTATTCTTCGTTAAGGAAAATGTGCGTGTGACTGATTGTAATAATTGATTTAATTAATCGTGCTCCTGCCACGCCGTTTTTATTTCCACGAAACAAAAATTTGTTTTATTATTATCGATTTTTAATTTTAAATACCAGGCAAATATAGATTACCCGATGGTTTTTGTAAATAAATACTAGCTCTGATTTTGAAAACGAAATTTTTGGGTGTGTGCGTATAATAATAACAAAAGAGGAAAAACCGGAAACGGTAAATTTTAAAATTTTCCAATCAGGTATATTAATTATTTTGTAAATGCCATAAATTACGTAACGGTAAATGCCATAACAAGGCAATAAATATGATTTAAATTATTTGAAAATGACAAACGGTTAAATAAAGATGTTTCGTATTATGTTAGTCGAAGTTTTCCCACCACCAAAAATTATAGTTTATTATTATTATTATTAAGTAAATTGTTGGTTGTCGCTAATATCAAATAATATAAAAGATAGAGAGAGAAAGAGAGAGAGGTGAAAAAGGTTGGAAAATCATTTAATTGATGAATGAGGAAATCTCTCTTTGTCTCTTTTCACTGAGAAATATATTTAATGATAAAATGTTTAAAATATATATATATGCCGCGTGTGACATTTAAATATAAAATTTTTTTTTTTTAAAGACTTAATTTAACTCTTCATAACAATTTTAAAAATAATAATAATAATAATAATAATAGGAAACAAAAAAGAGAGAGAGAGAGAAATAATTTTATAAATTTTACACAATTAAAATTGTCAAATTATTCCGGTTAAATAAATTTTATTTATTGATTTATATATTTATGTAATAATATTTTTTTACGCCCTTTTCTACTCTCGGTCGTCGTGTTTCTACTGCCACGACGAACGATGTCGCGTTTATTTATCGCGAGGATTTAATAATAAATGAAAGTAATAAGAGACGCGGAAAATACCCTGATGTAGACTTTTAATATAAATTTTTTAAATAATAATATTAAACGTTTAGTATATTAGTCGTCGTATAGAGGTGTGGTGTGCGCGTGCGCGTGCGTTTTCCTGTAGTAGTTTATAGACAAATCCGTTTTTTTTTTTTAGTAGTTTATAGAATGAGGGGGTAGATAAATTAAGAAAAAAAAAAAACTACAGGAGGTTTTGTGTGGAGGTTTATATCGATCGATCGATCGATCGATCGAATACGTAAAAGGAAAACGTCACGTATATGATATACGATATTATCGCGTACATTATATGCATGCTTACGTCATCATAGACACACATATATTTACTTTTTTTTTTTTAAATATATATATATATATATATGTTCATTCCCATATGCTCACGTGATATTGTTACTCGGCACAACAGAGCATTCCGTTTCTAGCAACAAGCACAGGAAAAGACAGAGTCGTCTTAGTTTACAGCGACAACATTCAAGTTCGGTCAAAGGTACGTTTTTTTTCTCTTCTTCCCTCCCCCCTCCCGCCTTCCCCCGATCATCCTCCTATTTATTATTATTATTATTATTATTATAACCGAAAATTTAATTTTTTTTGCTTCTTGCTCGGTTCGGCTAATGAATGCGTGCAACAAAATTGAAAAATTTTTTTTCGTGGATGCAAAAACGATTAGTAAAAAAAAAGTTTTTAATTTAATTTTAATTTAATTTAAGTTTAACTTATTAAAAGTATCAAAAAGAAAGAGAGAGAGAGAGAGAGAGTGGGTGGGGAAAAATAGAAAAAAAAGGAGGAGGAAAAATAAAAAGAAAAATTAAAAAAGAGAGAGAGAGATAGGAAAGGGATGGGACGACGGTGATTTGTTTGGAAAAAAAATTTTTTTTATTTTTTTTATAAACGAAAAAAACCTCTTTTGCATGATGATTGCCTGATATAATAAAACTTTATTTTTATCTTTTTTTTTTTGTTACCCGATGTCATGACGTCATGAAATTTTTTTTTTTAACGTACGTTTACCGATATTAATTTGTTTCGTTTAAAGTTTAACTTCGGAGCATGCTACATATACAAACTCTTGAGTTAGTTTAATTAAAAAGGTTTGTTTGTTTGTTTGTTCGTTCGTTTGTTTTTTATAATTAGATGATTTTTTTTCGAAACAAAAAAAAAACAAAGTTTATTTATTAGTTTTAAATATTTTTTTTTTCATTTCGAGTTTAATTTTATAAAAATTTTTTTTTATTGTTTGTTGCGAATGTTTATTATATTTTTTCGTTTGTTTGTCGTAGTGGAAAAAATTTGTTTGTTTCATTATTTAAAAGTAGAGAGAACAACGACAACGACAAAAAGTGAATGAATTTTTTTTTCTACTTTATTTTATCGGCGACGACCGTTATAATATTTCAACCGGGGGAAAAAAAAAAAATGGCGTCGTCGTTCGGTTATTTCATTTTTTTTCCCTATTCAAAAATTTTAATTTTTAACGTTTTCCACCGCGCAAGTTTCGAAAAAGTAATAATAATAATAAAAATAATTTTATTAACATTTCAAAACCGGAAACGTTTCGTTATTTTTTTTTTTTTTGCTTGGACGGAAAAAAAATTTAAAATAATTTTTAAGTTTTTTGCTTGAAATTCGAGTTTGATTATTAAAATTGATGACGTCGTAATAAATAAATTTATGACGTTTTCGCGTTCGATTATCAAATCCATAATAATAATAATGATAATTACCTCCGTTTTTATTATTATTATTAATATAATTATTAGTTGGAAAAAAGGGTTGCGTTTATTAAAAAAAAACAACAACAAAAAAATTACACGTCACGCATTTTTTTTAAAAAATGTTTTCCGGTTATTTTGTGATTTACTTCCGGTATTTTTATGATTATTATTATTATTACTACTGCTTTTTTTTGAAGTTTGTAAAACGGTCGTTTGCAACAATTTCCGATTTATTTTCAAAATGGTGGCGGGGTCGACAACAAAATCACGTAAAAAAAAAAAGACGACTACGTCGAAATGATAATGATAATGATAATAATAATAATAATAAAATTAATTGTAAATTGGAATTTTTTTATAGAAATCTCAAAGCATCGGTCCAGGGGTTGAATACAACATGAGAGACGACGATTCGAATATACACGTTGGCATACCTAAACTCCGAGGTGTATCGGAACAAATTGTCCAAGAAGGTTTGGAAGGAGTCGCCTTGCAAAGTCTTTCACAATGTCCATCCATGGATTCGAAAACGAAAAACGCATCTTCCACAATATGTTCAAGCCGACGCAATTCAAATTCGCAAGGACCGAGTTTGACGGCATCGGTCATTGTTAACGTGCCAACATCGACAACGAGAACCGAAGAAGAAGAAGAAGATGAAGATGATGAAAGAGGAGGACTAGGAGTAAGAGTAGGAGTAGAAGATGATATAGACGACGGAAGGACCGAAATGACGTCGGGTAGTATACCTGTGACGACATCAGGACCGACGTCATCTTCAACGTCGACGACGGATTCCAGGCCGCACATTAGAATTTCATCGTTGTAAATTAATAATTATTATTATTATTATTATTATTTTTTTTTTTTGTCTCGTCGTTTAAAAACTGGAGCAATAAACGCGTTCTATTCTAATTCCTAATCTATATATAAATAAATAAATAAAACTTTGCCATACAAAAAAAAACTTT